TCTCACACTACCATATTTTTCGTATTTTCAAGTACCATGGGTTCGTTATCTACCAGTACCATGGCTTCGGTATCTCGAAGTACCATGGCTTTGGTATGTCCGGGTACCATGGATTTGGTATCTCGCTGTATCATGGCTTCGGTTTCTCCCATAACCCATGTTTTCTGTATCTTCCAGTGCAATGGTTTCGGTATCTCCCAGTACCACGGTTTCCGTGTTTTCTAGTACCATGGCTTCGTTGTCTCCCAGTACCATATTTTTCGTATCTTCCGGTTCCATGCCTCATTATCCACCAGCACCATGTTTTCGGTATCTCCAAACAATGGCTTCGGTTTCTGTCAGTACCATGTTTTCTGTATCTTCCACTACAATGGCTTCGGTATCTCCCAGTTCCACGGTTTCCGTGTTTTCCAGTACCATGGCTTCGTTGTCTCCCAGTACCATATTTTTCGTATCCTCCAGTTCCATGGCTTCATTATCTACCAGCACCATGTTTTCGGTATCTTCCAATACAATGGCTTCGGTATCTCTGAATACCATCGTTCGATATTTCCTAGTAACATGGCTCCGCTACCTCTCTGTGTCTTGCTTCGGTATTTCGCAGTACCATGGCTTTGGTATCGCGCAGTACAATGGCGTCGGTTTGTCCCAGTACAACGGCTTCGATATCTCGAATTACCATGACTTCGGTATCTCCCAGTAACATGGCGGTCTCTCAGTACCATAGCTTCGGTATTTATCAGTACTATGGCTTCGTTATTTCCAAGTACCATGGCGGTATCTCTCCCAGTACCATGGCTTTGGTATTTTCCTGTACTATGTTTTCGGTTTCTCCCAGTACCATATTTTATCGGTAACTTCCAGTACCATGTTTTCGGCATCTTCCAATAGAATGGCTTCGCTATCTCCCTGTGTTTGACTTCGGTGTCTCGTAGTACTATGGCTTTGGTATCTCGCAGTACCATGGCTCAGTTACTCCAAATGCCATGGCTTCGGTATCTGGACGTACCATGGCTTCGGTATCGCCCAGTACCATGACGATATCTCTCCTAGTACCATGACTTCGGTATCTTGCTGTACCATGGCTTCGGTTTCTCTCGGTACCATGTTTTCGGTATCTTCCAGTACCATGGCTTCGGTATCTAGCAGTACAATGATTTCGATATCTCCGAAGCATGGGCTCGTTATCTTGCTGTACCATGGCTTCGTTGTCTCCCAGTACCATATTTTTTGTATCTTCCGGTTCCATGCCTCATTATCTACCAGCACCATGTTTTCGGTATCTCCGAACCATGGCTTCGGTATTTCCCAGTACCAAGTTTTCAGTGTTTTCGGTACCTTGGCTTCGTTATCTCCCAGTACCAAAATTTTCGTATCTTCCGGTTCCATGCCTCGTTATCTACCAGCATCATGTTTTCGGTATCTCCAAACAATGGCTTCGGTATCTCCCAGTACCATGTTTTCTGTGTTTTTGGAACATTGGCTTCGTTGTCTCCCGGTACCATATTTTTCGTATCTTCCGGTTCCATGCCTCATTATCTACCAGCACCATGTTTTCGGTATCTCCAAACAATGGCTTCGGTTTCTCCCAGTACCATATTTTCAGTGTTTTTGGTACCTTGCTTCGTTTTCTCCCAGTACCATATTTTTCGTATCTTCCGGTTCCTTGGCTTCCTTATCTACCAGCACCATGTTTTCGGTATCTTCCAATACAATGGCTTCGATATCTCCCAGTACCATCTTTCGGTATCTCCTAGTACCATGGCTTTGGTATCGCGCAGTACGATGGCGTCGGTTTCTCCCAAAACAATGGCTTCAATATCTCGAATTACCATGACTTCGGTATCTCCCAGTAACATGACGGTCTCTCAGTACCATAGCTTCGGTATTTTCCTGTACTATGTTTTCGGTTTCTCCCAGTACCATATTTTTTCGGTATCTTCCAGTACCATGTTTTCGGCATCTTCCAATAGAATGGCTTCGCTATCTCCCTGTGTTTGACTTCGGTGTCTCGTAGTACTTTGGCTTTGGTATCTCGCAGTACCATGGCTCAGTTACTCCAAATGCCATGGCTTCGGTATCTGGAAGTACCATGGCTTCGGTATCGCCCAGTACCATGACGGTATCTCTCCTAGTACCATGATTTCGGTATCATGCTGTACCATGGCTTCGTTTTCTCCCGGTACCATGTTTTCGGTATCTTCCAGTACCATGGCTTCGGTATCAAGCAGTACGATGATTTCGGTATCTCCGAAGCATGGGTTCGGTATCTTGCTGTACTAAGGCTTCGTTGTCTCCCAGTACCATATTTTTTGCATCTTCCGGTTCCATGCCTCATTATCTACCAGCACCATGTTTTCGGTATCTCCGAACCATGGCTTCGGTATTTCCCAGTACCAAGTTTTCAGTGTTTTCGGTACCTTGGCTTCGTTATCTCCCAGTACCAAAATTTTCGTATCTTCCGTTTCCATGCCTCATTATCTACTAGCATCATGTTTTCGGTATCTCGAAACAATGGCTTCGGTATCTCCCAGTACCATGATGTCAGTGTTTTTGGAACCTTGGCTTCGTTGTCTCCCAGTACCATATTTTTCGTATCTTCCGGTTCCATGCCTCATTATCTACCAGCACCATGATTTGGGTATCTCCAAACAATGGCTTCGGTATCTCCCAGTACCATGTTTTCAGTGTTTTTGGTACCTTGGCTTCGTTTTCTCCCAGTACCATATTTTTCGTATCTTCCGGTTCCATGGATTCCTTATCTACCAGCACCATGTTTTCGGTATCTTCCAATACAATGGCTTCGATATCTCCCAGTACCATCTTTCGGTATCTCCTAGTAACATGGCTTCGGTACCTCCCTGTGTTTGGCTTCGGTATTTCGCAGTATCATATCTTTGGTATCGCGCAATACGATGGCGTCGGTTTCTCCCAAAACAATGGCTTCAATATCTCGAATTACCATGATTTCGGTAACTCCCAGTAACATGACGGTCTCTCAGTACCATAGCTTCGGTATTTATCAGTACCATGGCTTCGTTATTTCCAAGTACCATGGCGGTATCTCTCCCAGTACCATGGTTTTGGTATTTTCCTGTACTATGTTTTCGGTTTCTACAAGTACCATATTTTTTCGGTATCTTCCAGTACCATGTTTTCGGCATCTTCCAATAGAATGTCTTGGCTATCTGACTGTGTAAAATGGCTTCGGTTTTCAACAGTACTATGGTTCTGGTATCTCGCAGTACCATGGCGTCCTTTTCGCCTAGTACCATGGCTTCGTTAACTCAAAGTACCATGGCTTCGTTATCGCCTAGTACTATGGCTTCGGTATCTCGCAGTGCCATGTTTTTCGTATCGTCCAGTACCATGGCTTCGTTATCTACCAGTACCATGTTTTCGGTATCTCGCAGTACCATGTTTCGGTATCCTCCAGTAAAATGGCTTCGGTATCTCGCAGTATTATGGCTTTGGTATCTCGCAGTACCATGGCTCAGTTACTCCAAATGCCATGGCTTCGGTATCTGGAAGTACCATGGCTTCGGTATCGCCCAGTACCATGACGGTATCTCTCCTAGTACCATGACTTCGGTATCTTGCTGTACCATGTTTTAGGTTTCTCCCGGTACCATGTTTTCGGTATCTAGCAGTGCGATGTTTTTGGTATCTCGAAGTACCATGTTTGGATATCCTCCAGTAAAACGGCTTCGGTTTCTCGAAGTGCTATGGCTCTGGT